AGCTTTTATTGATCATGTTTCATACTGTATGTTTATGTTCTGCAATTAGTTGCTCCATGTCAAGTTGTGTGGGGTTCCTATACATATACAGGCAATACGAGTGCAGGACTTTGCATTTAAATATAATGAAATAATGTAATTACAGCAGCTAGAGTATAGTTTTCACTGAGTCCCCTAAATATGTAAATATAAGTAGCTGATCGTATATAAAGTATTCAAGACAGCCAAGATACAACTCAAGAAATAATCATACTGAATGAGTATTTAAGGTTTCTAATTTAGCAGAAATGGCTAAAATTTCTGCTTATTTAAAGGACCATTCACAAGAGAGATATGTTATTGTATGGAGAAGATGGATAGAATATGTTCAGAAGAAATATGGAACTACAAAGTTTCATTTATTTTATGAGTAATAGATTTGTTAAAAAAATTATGATGTTAAAGTTTGAAGAGAGTTAAGGGTTAGTATGATTTTGGTTATTGTATAATTAGTAAATTTAAATAGATTATGTTTAATATGTTTGTATAATCCTGTACTTGGCTCTGGGAAGTCGGGGTGGAGGAAGGGGGGTGGGGGGATGGGTTGACGGTTAAATAGCTCAGATAAGTAGAAATAGTTTCATTGTTTATAATATTATGTTTTATTTTGGAGAGAGGAATTGCTCGGGCATTTCTCCTGGACTGCATCCGGAATGAGAAGATAGGAGGAAGGGGAGAAGTAAGTAGGAAGGTTGAGGAGAAGGAGGAGAGGGGGAGAGTGAAGAAGAAGAGGGAAAGAGGGAAGTGAGAGAAGAGGTTAGAAGGTGGATGCGGTTTGGAGGGAAATGGGTGAGCAATACCGAAAATGTGTATAAATTTATTTTACTCTTTATCTGAAGTATTTTTTATGATGTAATGTAAAATTGAAAATAAAAAAATTTTACAAAAAAAAAGAAAAAGAAATAATCATACTAACTAGACAGCAAATTGTTACATTTTAAAATTTGCTGAGATTTTTTGACCAATGTGATTTGGTTGTAAAATAACATTTCAAACTGTTATTTGTATTTAAAGAAAAAATATAAAGATAGCAACATACTTGTTCCTATAGTCCCCTAAAACAGAAAAATCTGCAACCTTAACCTAGCAAACAGTTCCCCTGCATATATTTGTATCACATGGGCATTTTTCATATTATAGTCTCCAAATATTACCCAATCATCTATATGGGGCAGTTTTAAAAAGCAAACACATCTCTAATGGTCTCTTTGTACAGTTGTCATGTGTAATGTGTTTCCCACATTCTTTAGTTTGGACGGTAATGTTTGTATTTTGATTAGGTAATATTAGACCAATCTGTGAAAGTTCCAGTTCTCCCTCTTTCATCTTAGCAAAATGAGTATGTGTGCCTGCACAACTAGCCATTGGCAAATACCATTTTTAAAAAAACTTGGGAGACTACTGAGGACAGAGCGGGCACTTGTACTGAAACTTCTTAAGAGTAAATAGTTTCCTTTCCTACAGACACCAGCAGCATGTCTATCTACTATAAATAAAACAGTAATAATGTAATATTACTTTGTAATATTTATATTACAAACAATGCTGTACCTTTGTAATAAGTGCACCTGCCTGGACAAAATGGCATGAAAGGATATAATCTTTGGACTTTGCATTTAAAAAGGCAGAGAAGTAAAATCACTTTAGTCTAATACACCCATACTAGTACACTACTAGTATTGTTATATAAAGGCAAAAAATAAACCCAAGGACTTGCAAAGCTATGGGAAAAGCTGGAGGCTTAGGGAAAGTGCAATCCATTTGCAAGATCTTCCGCACTTTTACACTTCATCTAGCAAAAGACTTATCTTAAGAATGAGAGTTTTGTGGTATGGAAAAAATAAAATACATAAATACTTCCAAAACCACTACATTAGAAATGCATTGTTATTAACTTGAGAAAAAATAAAATGTAAAATTTATTTGAAAATTCCAGGATGGCTTTCAACAATGGAAGCATTCGTACATCCAAATATAGTCAGTCTCGATAAAATATGGACATACAAAGATATTCTAAATTCTGAAGGGAATCCAGGCAAGAGATGGAGAATCAGGGCATCGATTTAACATGGTGGTCACATTTACAAATACAAGTCAGAAATGATAAAGATATTAAACAGTATGAATTTTACAAAGAACAAACTATGTTTGATCAGACATTATTAACTTCTGATGAAAAGTTAATGAAAAAATATACAATTTCTTATTAAATTTCAAAATGGAAGATGAACAAGTAAAAGAGACAATGATAGTATGGGCAAAGAATTTTGGATATAATATAGACTTAGAAAAGTGGCAAAGTTTCTGGGAAAGAAACTATAAATTGAAATGTCAGCTTCATACAAAGAAAATTTATATAAAATGTTTTATAGTTGGCATTTGCCACCAACAAGATTAGCAAAAATGTTTAAAAACATGTAAGAGAAATGTTGGAAATGTAAACACAAACCAGGAACTTATTATCATATGTGGTGGACATGTGTTAAAGCAAGGAGATATTGGACAATAATCCACACTCGGTTAGAAAAAATGTTAGAGAAACACATAGAGTATAAACCTGATTTTTTTTACTAGGTATAATGCCAGAAAAATTTGAAAAGCAAAGTACATATTTCATTCTATATGTGATAACACCGGCAAGAATTATATTTCCACAATATTGGAAGAACGAAGAAATACCACCAGAAGAAGAAATAATCAAAAAATATTAACCTATGTGGAAATGGACAGACTTACTTTAAGGTTGAAAGAAACAGAAAAAACAGTCCATTTTCAAACTTGGGATCTATTTTATCAATGGTTAGAGAAGAGATTTAGGGATTAGGAATTTAATTTGTGTTAGTGAATAAGATACTCAATGTTTTTGTTGAATAATTATTATTGAACTCTGTTAAAAAAAATAATAAAACAAAAAAAAAGAATGAGAGTTTTGCCTAAAGGATCCTACAAACCGATTGCTTTACTAGGAAAAAAACTGGATTACTTCCATTATAATAAATAACTGAAGAGGAAAGTTATGAACACTGGTGAAGCTTAGATAGGAAGCTGGATTATGGGGATAAAGTCTGTCTAGGTAATTGGGATTAATGCAGCAATCCACTGCTGTTGTAATCTATTTGTGCAGAATAGTTTACTGTGTTCTTTTTCCCTTGTCTTCATTTAATTAAAACAAAGAAGAAAGAGAAATAAGGAAAAAGAAAGGAAAAGTGGAATTGGGGAAAAAGTTGTTCTCAACGAAGATATTCTTCTTCATGGAACAGACTAGGAGCCAGTAAACCCCACAACCAAATAACAATTCAGCACGAATTTATCAGATATAATAAGCAAGCCATATCTCAACAGTATAATTAATAGCAAATATTCAAGTTCAGTTTTTCACATCTACAGTTAGCCAATCTCAGATAGCAGGTTTAAAAATGATGTTTTTCTGCCAGAGACACTAGAAAAATGCTACTAGTCCATGCCGCCTGGATGATACTAGAAACGTCTAGTGACGAAAAACTACTGCCCTTTTCACCTTGCACAAAGTCCATATAACTTTGCCTGGGCTGAAAAGATCATACCTTGAGAAAGGAAGGATGAATATTCTGCATGCTTTAAGGAATTCCTTTTTGTCCTCATCCCTTAATTGGAAGACATAGCCTTAAAATGAAATATTGTTCAGCTTTTTGAGTATCTGCATGCTATATTTTACAAGCTTTTCACTGTGACACAACTTCCTTAATAAATGCTAACCACAAATAACAAACTCCATTCTGTAATCTATTAGCTGATTAGTCCCCTTCAGGCCTCAAGATTGTTTGCAGTTTTTCAATGTAATTTTTGTCCCAGTTGTAAAAGAAAAAGTGTGCCTGCCTTTCCCCCCTATTTGTCCTCCTTTCCAATTCTCCATGTCCTGCTTTTCAGATATCTGGTAATCCTATGCCTGATGCATGTTAGGGCAATATTCATTTCTCAAACACTCTGAACCACAAACTTCCTTCTCTAATTAATGATCTAAGTCTATGGGTATTATATTCATTCAGATTAGCCAAAAGTTAATTGCTTCACATCGCATGACTTTGTAGGGGGAAGTGAAAGTGAAGAACACACAGGTTGTACAATTAGTGTGAGTTCTTTAATACTCATCCCGCTAAGTAGTAGCTCCATCTAGGTGACATCTAAAAATTAAGCTCCTAGAAAATACAGCCTCCAGCATTAAAAAGATTACACCACAGTTAAATTAATAATATTAAGTTAGATGGACTTGTGCTCTGCTTGATTATAAATGAAAATATCTCATTTCACTCAAACCACAGTTTGGAACCCTTTTTACCATAAGGATCACATTTTCACAGAAAAAGCAATACAGTAGTAGCTATATTGGTTATGAGAGGAAAGAAAACAAAATTACACAGAGACAATATTATGATTAGGAATATGTATTTTCTACTAGTGAAGCCTCACATACTCGTTAGGGTAAGCCAAGCTACACTCAACAGGGCTACAATGAAGAGTCATTTTAAAATATCTCTTTTTCTAATTTTAGAATAACACTAGATACTCCAAAAGCCATATTCCATGCCATATTTGGAAAAATAGGTGAGAATAGAAAAACAACAAGTTTTCAACAGGAGACTAATGGATATTTACCCTGGGCTCAAACTAGACAATAGTAATACAGACTTCTGTATGAAGCTTTTAGTGTACACTGTTCCTATTTTATTCACATTTATATTAGAGTTTTTCATTTATAGCCTTCCTATTTTTAGCTCATTACTTCTAATGACACATTGCCTGTTCACAGAGAGGCATTGACCTGGAAGCACAACAAACCAGTAAAAATCAGACATTTATTGTACTGTAAAGCTTCAGATTTTTACTATAGAAAATGCATGAGTATTTACTGACAAAATAATTCTTCTGCCTGACCCTCTCTTACAAGTGTACTAAAAGGTAGCAAAGTAGCATGACTCACTCACCTGCACTGATAATAAGGAGAGAACCCCCCTTGTTTCCTTTCATAGTGGCTCCTCTGTTTTCCCCAGCCTTTTCTTAAAATTGTCAAGAATGCAGGTGTTAATGAAAGTGCTAGCCAATGTTGAAAGTAAATGGGAAGTAATTGCCTCCTAGTTGTAGTTTGTACTGTGTCTTCACTTCCGCCCTAGATTTTTTCCACACCCTCTTCCTTATATCCTTTCACCCTTCCTAACAAGAATTGCAAGTTGTGTCACAGTAGGTTTGTTTTCATATCTTCCATTCTCTTGCTGAAAGGTCAAGGAAACAATGTCTAAGTTGCCCTGCCTTCTCCCAGGTAAACAAGCCACTCTTACACATCTCTTTTGATAGACAAATGAACATGCAGAAAAAGAATCAGTGGTGTTTAGGGCAGGGTTTCACGAAGTGAGAAGTGTATTTTTCTTGGAGATGTGCAGAGTTCTTGGAGGTGTGAAGAACCTTTCAGTTGTCCGTTGTTATAATAAATCCATCTTTCTCAACATTTTATTGTATTGTTTTCATTATTCATTATTGTTCATTTTGGTTTTTGGATTTTTTTGATGCATACATTAAGATTACACTTAAGGGAGATGTAATGGCCAAAAGTTTAGGAAACCCTGTTTAGTGGTTAACATATTGGACAACGATTGTGGGAACCAAGGATTAAGTCCACAAAAAATCACAGGGTATTGTCTTCTCTCAGCCCAATCTACCTTATAAGATTGTTGTTATAGGAAAAAATGAAGACATATCTCTGTCTATGATGCCTTGAGTTTCAGGAGAAGAAGCAGGTTGTAAATTGAACAAATAAATAAATAAAATAGCAATAAGCCAGATTGCTCAAGCAGCCAATAAATGTGCTAGTACAAATACCACAAAAGGAACAATTACAATAAGACAACGCTCTGGGGCATTGCATATCTCTGGAGATTCTCAGCCATCCAGGTCATGGATATCCCAAAAGTGCATTTCCAAAAGACAACTGGACTTTCTTGGCGGGGGGGTGGGGGTGTTTCCTTGAAAATGTTTCGCTTCTCATCCAAGAAGTTTCTTCTGTTCTCAGAACTGAAGAAGCTTCCTTGATTAAAAGTGAAACGTTTTCAGAGGAAAAAAAAACAAGAAAGTTCAGTTGCCTTTCATAAAAGCACCTTTGGGACACTGATACTGCATGTTTATGTTTTACTGGTACTGATTCAAAGGTAGCCTTTACTTGTCATTAAAGAAATCAAAACACTTCATGCTAGGCCTTATTTGTGGCATTGTGATCTAATTTATTTCTTCCCCTAGTGAAATGCTGCAATATTCTATTTATTCAATATTGTTTCTACATTCCATGTTGTTAAAACTTCCGACTTCCTCCACCCACTACACTGGAATTTGTTGTGTAGGTATATTTATAACTAAACTTTTTTTTTCTGGTATGCAGAAAAAAACATCTATGCACTATGCAATCTATACCATCCATATGTTTTGGGGGATTTACAGAATTACTTTTGCATAATAAGTGTAGTATACGAATGTGCCTATTCAAATTTAACGGATATTGTGTTTTAACGGATCTCTTTTTTTTCCTATTAATCTCTAAAACTGGGGGTTTAAAGCTGTTGTTATAATTTCAGATCTCTATTCTATTCTTTATATTATGTAGAGATTAACCAATTCATCTAACGTCAACTAGAGTTCCTTATCACACTTTAGTGCAAAAATTGTCACTGCTTTGTAGTAACTAAAAATAGTTTGGTCTTTCACCTCTCTTTTCAGCATTTCTCTCTTTGTCTTCTCCTTCCCCCATCCTCAAAAATAACTGTGTGTATATGTAACACTCCTCCTCGCTTAGGATAATATTTCATGTACCTCATTATGTGGGTGCAATCCAGGAAGCGTTTGCAATAATATATTCGTTAATCTTTAAAGTGTCATAAGACTGCTTTTTATTTTCCCCAATTCAACTTCTTGTTTCATTTTGTGGCTTACCTTTTCTGTAATAATCCATTAAAAATAGAGGGAAGGAGCAAATGGAAACAAAAATACTTAAAAGGAAAATAATTTTAGTTCCTGATCCTTAAAGGGACATATGTAAACAGACATAAGAATATAAAACTAATAAAATGTTGCCTATCAAACTTTTGAACTGTTTTGCAGATAATTGTTCCTTGTTTTGAAAGGACAGAGTTAAAACCCAGGCATGGCATTTTTCTTGACATTACCCAACAGCCAGCCAGTGCCTAGAGATGTTATATTTAGAAGGCTGATAAAGTTTGAAGCTGACAGTTGTCCTGTCCCTTTGCAAAAAAAATCACTGAGAAGGAAAGAAGGCAACTGCCTGGATCCTACCTTTTTGATTCGTTTCCTATTTTTTTAGAATTGTGCCTGAACTCTCAACAAAGATAATTTTATCACCAAGAGATACACATGTTCACAGCATAAATGGTAAGTTGCTTTGAGGTTGTCATAATTTCTCAGGTCAGACTCGCTAGGTCATAGCAAGTAGCAATAACAACCCACCCTTGCTTGTGGTGGCCTGGCTGCATTCCTGACATTTCAAAAAAGCTGCAAGGGGTGAGAATGAGAACTGGAGAAAAAGGAAATCACAGGATCAAAGCTTTGGGGATTGGAGTGGGAAAGCTAATTCTTTACGGCTATAGAATCCTGAGTAAGGAACATGTTGAAATACTACTGGCTTCATAAGTTTCCTCTAAAATCAGAACATGATCCGGGAGGTCCATTTCAGACTGGGAAGGGGGTAGAGAATTCAAAATGGAAACATTTAATTTTTTTAAAATGCTCTCTTTTAGGTGACAGTTTTATATCTTCTTAACTAGAAATAAATTGCATTAAATTCAGTAGAATGTATTTCTGTGAAGACGTGCAGAAATTTATATTTTCAAAGCACATTTTTATTTTAATAGTGTCGGAGAAAAATATGTGAAGAGGGAACTACTAGCCTTAAAACTTTTTTCTCCCTTCTCAAGAAGTTTGTTTTGTCTTATTAAGCAATACATCAACGTATTTCATCTCCAAATATTTTATCATGGGTTTGCATATGTAGACAGGTTCAGTAACATTCCATGGGCAAAACCCCAATATATAGGAAACAGTGCTAATAAAGAACAAGAAAATACAAGATTATAAATGTTTATAATATACATATGTTTATAATTTATAAATATGTTTAATTTATACAAAATTGTAAGTTACTAATTTACAAATGAATTATAAAAAGACAAAATTTTAAAATAGACTCAGGTTGCCATGTTGCATATGCTAAATGGACCTGCTAAATGTTAAACTACAGCGATAGCTAGCTGTAGCTACTTTGACTAACTTCCTCTTGAACCCTAACCACAAATGCAACATATAAATATTAATATGTATCTATGTGATTTTAATGCTTGCTTCTATTTGCTTGAAATATGAATTAATATTCAAATAGTTTCCATTCTCCCATAAAAGGTACACTAGGTTTCAAATATTATTTAAAAAAAAGATTTGGGTTTTGAGAATCTATTTATTATAACACCATATTTTACTATTTTTGTGAGTACCTAATAACATGCCACTAATCATTTAGTAAGAAATGAATAGACTTCTGCCTTGGATAAAGTAATCATGAAGAATCCCATTTCCTTGCATAGTTACAAAAATTTCCTCTGACTGAATTCCATGGTTTAATTCTTCATAATTCAGAGTTTGAGAAGCTTTATTACAGAAAGCATCATATATATTAACTGTTTAAATGTTTTCCCCTCTTTCTAAAATATATAATATACTTTGTATGACTCAGCAGATGAGATTCCTTGTGGAATTATATGATTTAATTTATTGCGATCCGCAATCCTTTTCTTCCCAATTTCAGCTGGTTTCCACAACAGTGATGGCAAGCAGTATGGATTCAGAGGGGGATCAGGCAGTGCCTGATGGAGGAGAACCTGATGTGAAAACAGTGCAAGCTCACTATCTTCGAAGTCCTTCGCCTAGCCGGTGAGTGTTTCACAAAATAAGTCTCTATACACGTCCCATTGTATAGAACAAATTGCAAACTTTTTCTTTGCTTTCTCTTTTTACACTCACCAAGTACATTATTGAAATCCTTACCAAGAACAAGGCGTAAAGAGTTTTTTCTTACTTCTTTCAGAATCCATGATTGAGAGCACACACATTATTTTGCTAATTTAATTGATTCCACAGAGGTTTTGTACAAGCACTAGGGGTTCTTGGGAGAAGCACTGCTGACATCCGTGATGCAGGAATAGAAGCCCACCCAAGCTGCTGTTTTTGCATCTATCTTTCTATAGTACTGATTGGTTTGGATGCTACTGTTCAATTCTACTTTTGGCATAGACTTGGAATTTGTGAGTAGCCAGATTGTAGAGTACTGAGTGGAATAGAGGGAGGTCTAGTTAAAAAGTGTGATTTGTTTTAGCCTGCAGTGTAACCTTTTTCACTGTCACCAATATGCCTATCCTTCCCAATCCATTAAAAAATAAATAAACTGGATGAAGATTCAGCTGGGAGTGGGAACAGCCAGTCCTGCTGTTGGAGATCAAAGCTCTAAGAGAAAGGGGCTTTCTCTGCAATCCCCCTCCCTCACTCTGTTTTGCAAAGCTGGAGTAAAATAGGAAGTAATTTCCAGTCCTGAGAGCACACAAAACCAAAATTCCATTGGAGGCTATCAGAAAGGAAATAAAGTAATTATAGCAGTATAGAAAAACAGATAAAGTACCATCAACACCCAGAATTTGAAAAATGCAACTAGATTTCCTCCTTGGACTTTTAGATAAAATGGAGCCTAATATGAAAACCTAATATGAGATGGACCAAGCTTCCAACTCTCTAAAAAAGGAAACTGAAGGACAATGCTTGCATATTTTGTTTTCTTGCTTTTTCTATGGCCAATCCCTTCATGTGAAAATGTATTAGCTGGAGCTGGAGCCTTCTAATATTTGGTACATTTTCATTCAAGTCCACATGGACTTCCCCTTGTCCTAGCCATCTTAGCTGCTATTAGATTGAAAACTGGCAGTACATACACTTTGATTAATACAGCTATGCTTGCAAGATTCAGAAACTTAGAGACCCTCTAGTGGATAAAAAAAAATACCTTTTTCACCTTAAAAAGGGGACAATGTTGCAAACACTCAATTTCTTAACTTGGATTTGTCA